TTATTTAACACAATGATATGTGTCTTTCTTCCCCTACATATAACACTTTGTAGATAGCTGTTTACAATTTAGACCAATGATTGGTATCCTACACAGTCCTGAGAAGCCAGATTAAATCTAACCCCTTCCAAGAGGTCTTCTCTGATGTTCCTCCAAACTAAACAATCTCACCGTCCTCTAACATATATAGACCATATTTATCTGTATCTTTCCACCTTGAGCTATATTCTACTAATTTTGGTCTCTTCCACATTATCCCAAGGTCACACAGAGTAATCAAAGGTATGTCAAATAAATCAATGAGATTCATGAAGCAAAGAAAAACAGGCAATATCTCAAGCTTTTGTAGTATTCAATTCTTATTTAAATCAGGAATGAATACATAGCCAACAAGAGACTGTATCTTGAAAACAGCAAATAACCAGTGACTACCTAATTTACCAATCCAACTGCCTGTGTTCAAACTTCATCCCTCTTGACTCATCGATCATTTTCTTCTTTAGATCACCCCTCCTTCAGCTTCTGTCCTGTTCTAGTTCTCCTGCCACCCTGACCTATCACTGGTACCTGACTCCTGCCCACCTGAAGGTGCACTCTAGACCTCACTCTTTCATAATTTATATTTCTTTATTGAGTGATCTCATTTAGTCCTACAGCTTAAACACCCAGCCATACTCCCAATATCATATCCTAAATCCACATCTCAGCATGAGTCTCCGTCCTGATTTTCAAATTTTTCTTCCCAACTGCCTATTATCCAGATGGCCCAAACAAGCTTTAAAAAAAAAAAAAAAAAAAGACAAAGTATTATAATATGCACCCAAGGGCATGCCTTTTCTTGCCTTTCACATCTCTTTAAGCAGCAGCACAATTTATATGGTTGCTCAAACTAATTTATCTTCAGAATCATCTTATCTCTGACTCTTCAACTTCCTTCACCACTCACCATCTACTTGGTCACCTGTCAAATTTATCTCCTAAGATGTCTTACCCCTAGTTCTTCCTTTTAAACCAATTGCCCCAGTCCACTTATCCTGTCTCACCTATTCTATCACAACAGTCTCATAACTGGTCTTACTACCTAAAAATTCGTCCCTTTCCAGACTATAATCTCAAGCACAGAGTAATCTTCCTGGATTATTAATTTGATAACGGTACCACCTCATTTATAAGCCTCCCTTGACTCTCCATATCTGACAGGATAATGCCCAATCCTTGGGCATAGCGTTCACTGTTCAGCCTGGACCCACCTGCTTTCCTAGTTTCATCCTAGGAAACATCCCAGCTACATGGAGAGGCCTGATCTTCCTCTTCTGAGTTACTCTTATGTCATTCCCACCTCCTGCCAACTAGTTAAGTGAAGAAAGGGACTACAGGGAAAGGGTTATTTTAGTCTTTTAAACTCTCAAAGAATCGCTTCTCAGTCTTTCGGCTAAGATCAAGTGTAATCTCTTAAAGAAAATTCCTATTAAAAGGAACTATTCCTGAACATCAAATTAGGATACTAAATTTACCTTTTTTGGCTGATATTCAGGCATTGATGAAAGAAAATAAGGCTTATCAGGTCTATAAAGACCCACTTTAAATACTCCTCACTTAGCTTTCTCTCTCTGCTCTTTCAATTTTTTAAGTTATTTTTCTTCCTTCTATTTCTGGAGTATTTGTCTTTGTTGATCACTTAGAACCGATTTCACTGACCCTAAGCAGGCAAAATAAAACTGCATAGAAAACATTTCAGATAAAATGTTATGCAGATGTCTAAAATATCATTGTCTAACTTCAACTGTTGCTAAGAAATGCTTTTAGTAACTTGTTAATTCCTTAGCATTCTAACCACAAGTTATTTCAACCCCCATTCTTTTAAAATTTCTCTTCATTTTGCCTTCTCTTGTTCAAATATTTATTGACTCCTTGCTATGTACTAGGCATGCATTACTTCACTTTTCAATTAACTTCTATGATCACCAGCCTCCAAGCTGACCTCTAGTGATTCTCACCTCCTGGAAACCATGTCCTGTGCTGTCCCCTCCACACTGAATAGGGCTGAGCTGTGTAAGCAAGAAAAATGTGGGAATGATGGAGTGTGGCTTCCAAGACTAAGTCATTCAAGACAGTACAGCTGTGGCCCTGCTGTCCCTTGGATCACTTTCACTGGAGGAAGTCAGTGGCCATGTTAAGCCTTAAGGAGACTCCAGATGTCCACATGACAAAGAGCTAAAGCCTCCTGCCAAAGCCAGCAGCAACTTGCCAGTCATGTGAGGGAGCCATCTGAGAAGCAGCTCCTGCAGTCTCAGTCCAGCTTTCAGAAGTGTCCCTGGATGGCACCTTCATTGCAACCTGCAGCATCAGCCAGCAGAGCCACACCCAAATGCCTGACCCACAAAAATTGTGTGAAATCATAAATGTTTGTTGTTCTAAGCCTCTACGTTTTACTAATACAATTTTTCCTTTGATATTAAGGCTACTTGTCAGTTTCTTTAGCTCTTGTTCTATGAGAACATACGATTCTCAACTTAGGTTTCTGACTACGTATTCTCATGTTTATTTAAATTGGTTTGAAAAATATGAGTGCCTGCTATGTGCTAGACATTTTTAGGCAGTAAGAATAAGTAAGAGAATTTTTGCCTTCGAAGGATTCACAATATCATGGGGGAGATGAGCACAGTTTCAATTTGTTTTAGCATGGAATAAACAGTACAAGAATGCACACCATAGAGAAGCAGTATAAACCTGTCTGGGGAGATCAGCGAAGCCTTCTCAGAAGAGAGACTACCTGAGAAGTGTTCTGAAGAGTTTGTAAACATTTGCCCACTGGGTGAGGGTTAAAAATAATCCAGGGAGGGCCCGCCCCGTGGCTTAGCGGTTAAGTGCGTGCGCTCCAATGCAGGTGGCCCGGGTTCGGATCCCGGGTGCGCACAGACGCACCGCTTCTCCGGCCATGCTGAGGCCACGTCCCACATACAGCAACTAGAAGAATGTGCAACAATGACATACAACTATCTACTGGGGCTTTGGGGG